TTGAATACCCGTCAAATCTTGTATTAGTCCGTTGTAAATACGGCAGTCTATCGGTTGCAGACCGATATTTTAGGATAGTTTTATTACCTCTCCTTCCTTTTTACACATTAGTATAGTCAGTCATACAGACGATGGACATTGATCTGGCGATTGCTGTTATTATTATAGCATACACTCATATGAGCAACATTATTGGTTATCTTCGTATTGTAAGATGATTGGATATCCCCTAAATGCACACCTTCCCTAAGTGCCATCGGCTTGCACTTAAGGAGGTCCCACTGTACATTGTATACTAAAGTTGCAATTAATGCCTGGAAGACTTTGAGCTAAACTAATAACCAGTTAGACAAATGAATTATTATGTTATTGCTGCATATTATATCTGGTATAATACTGATAGCATAAAACAAAAGTTAAACTGTGCAATTCTATGCCTTCTGTTGATCTTGTTCTACTCCAGTTCCACTTTCATAGATTACATTGTGTGCTTGGGTAATTGCCTTTTGTTAATATTTACGGCTTACACTTACCAAACCTTAAACGAAAGCGCTTTAGAAAAGCAATGTGTGACTGTTTGTTGTGATTTTCTATTATCAATTTCATATTTACCCCTTTCTGTTACCTTGGTTGACGCTGTCCCACTTGTTATGTTCATCTTTTTCTACTTTTGTGCTGTTATAATAACAATCATCAAGGCTAGTATTAGATTGTGCTTGGGAATTTCCTTGCTTTTGTAGAGAAAGTCATGTTTGTTATTATTATTTCTGGTTGTTTGTTTTAAAAAAACCATTTAATGCATTGTGGCAAAGCATGATATGAAGTTACTTATTATTGGGAGACGTTCATTCACCGATAGCTTTCCCAATAAAATTTTTCCAACATAGTCTTGAAGTTATGCAATTTCGTTGTGAATGTACTGTCGGTGAGATGATTATTAATATTACAATTCGGTGAGAGAATCATGTCACTCTTTTAATAGTAGCATAACCAGCTTTGGGTAATAGAGGCCAACCCCGTAAGGGTAAATTCCTCATTGTTTTTGTGGAGTTTTCCTTCGTATGGTGGCTATCATCTATAAACCGCACAAATATCACATGACTTTCAAACTTTAATTAAGTTAAAACCAAATAAACCTATTACTATTGCGAATCTAAGCCAATAGAATAATAAATTAAAACAAGCTGAACATTTTTATCGGTGTACTTTTATAAAACGTTATGTAAAGTTTTAAGTTATTATGTTTTAAACTTCAGTGAATTTCTATATGAAGGCAAATTTCGGACACTTTGTATATGAAATTTATATGCATTTTTATATGATGATTTGATAATCTTAATTGAACCTATTCAATAACCCGCCCATCTAAAAGAAAATTAATGTTAAAGAACAAGAACGAGACAATAGTGGAAGGTTTGCAAAAAAAAATACAGACTGTTGATAATTGAAGAGATGATGATAATAATGGTGGGGATTATGATAATGGTTGGGACAAGAATGTTAATTGGAGTGATAATTTGTTAAATAAAAGAAAAAGAGTTGGATTTTTATCACAAAAAAGCGCGTTAGGAGAAGTCATACTGGAAGCTGGGCATAATATATTTTTTACCCAAAGTTCCACTGCAAACTGAATTATACCGAGCGATACTGGGGTGCGGCGAAAAAATATGCTCGAGAGAACTGTGACTATTCTTGGCCAGGCTTGCAACGTGCAGCCTTGGAATCCGTTGATACGATTACAATAAGAAGATTCGCTAGGAAAGTATGGTGCTACATGGATTTGTATAGCAAGGGAATAACTAGTAAGTTGGCTGAATATGCTGCCAGAAAGTGTAAGTCTCACCGTTATACGCCTAATATGTATTGTCAGAATTGAATGAAATAAAATTATGAAACGATTATAGTTACCTATAGGCTATTGTTCATGGTCACGTGATTTGTTATAAAATCGTGTGTTGATATACACACGACTGTGCGGTTTATAGATTAAGATGATAGCCACCATAGTACAGCAGATAAAGACTCGGACATAGAATTAACTCTCATATATTTTCTTTTTTTTTTGTAATTTGTTCAAGAAAATATTATAGTTAAAGAATAGCATTTTTTTCTTATTATCAAAAGAAAGGCGGCAGCAAAATATAGAATACTAGTGTTTGAGAAGCAAGCAACTTTTATAAACTAGCTCTTTAGTCGAACCTTTTCCTTACCGATAAATCAATCCTTTTCTTCGATTTATATAAGGTTGCCAACTTGCATATGCGGTAGTAATACACTTTGTCAGTGCCTTCTAAGTTAGCGCTTGATTTATTTCCAATTGCCTATGGTGTTGTTTTTTCGGTATCTGTAACATGTTAATTAACCTGCAAAGTTGCTTTACCTCACCGTACAATAAGCCGGGTAATAAACATGAAACAGAAAAAACAATATTAATAGATTAGTCAGATTTTACTTTAACTGCAGTGTTCTTTAGTTTAAAAATGTGCTCGGTCGTATATTTGTATGTTGTTCAACTTTTTGATTGTTAGAACATAAGAATTAATATTAAATAAAAATGAGAGACTGTATCTTGTATAAACAGAGATGCTTTCTAACATCCAACTGTCTGCATTATAAACTGCTATGCCAGACAAAATTGATGGCAAACTCACCTTTGCATCGTATTAACGCGCGTAAGTCTATATAGAGACAATATTTTGTTTCTGAAGTCAATTATATTATTAACTACTACGGAGGAAAGAGCTTTTAATGGAATTTATTACACAAACATTTCCTTAAAAAAACTCTCAAACTTTTCTAATACTGTTCAGCATCAGCAAAGACAAGCTAGCAAAATTGTAAAAGCATGAAACAAAATAACAGGCGCTGTTGAAAAACTTTCAAAAATGAGGAACGATAACGGAGGGCCGTAACATGAGTCATAACAGCGGTGGCGCCATATTTACCCGGTCCACCGACGATTATTGTCTCATTTGACGTAAAATATTAAAATCTGTCATTTGCAGATTATGATTACTACGTATCATTAGCGACGCCACTTATGTCATTCGAACATTCTTCTTCCATACTTTTCTCGATAAGACGGTTTTTTGGATCGTGCGGATAATAGTCGCTGTAGAGATGAAACATCGAAATAGAACGTTATTAACAATGAGTAAATAATAAATTAAGCAGTTGATATCGATATGCGATTAATAATACCATTGTACCATTGTGATTGCGTGATTGCTATTTCGTCATGTCACACGAGATCTCATCAATAACATGTGACAGGGTATAGTACAGGGTTTGGTTATTAATATAGAGATGATACTAATACGCATTTCCATACAATACAGAAAATGTGGAGTATCACAAACTCGAGTTAGTATCACATATGCATTTGTATAATACTGTCTTCAATATCCACTTATTTCTGTATTTATTACGGAGTTATAGTTTTCTGTGTATATTTTATTTAATGAAGGAACATTTTTAGTGTTTGATCACAATTACAATAAATAGCGCTAATTATAATATCTAAATATTGTCCTACATGATTAATTTCATATGAGGAATTTGCGGAGCTAATTTCCGCCATTACGGCATTGTTAGAAATTTATCAACATCGAACGTTGCTAGTAAGTACTTCTTAATATATAATAGTGGCAAGTATAAGGTACCCTAGCGTTACGAATTCGTGAGAGTGGTGCAACGTCTCCTATGGCGCTGTACGTAAGCATATGTTAATAAAATGGCTTGTTCAATGATAGAACACCACACCAAAAGTGTCTGTGGCGTAATAATAGCAATTAGTTCTGTTTGATTACTTTGTCTTATTAATAAATTTCGGGCCGCAAAAGGAGTTATATGCATGCCGCATGCACAGACTGGACTTGTTACCTCGGGCCAATATCGAATTAGGGGAAGGGGAAGGGGAAGGAAAGGGGAAGGGGCATTCTGTAAAAATAACCAGCCAGGGTGAATAGGGGTTGGGTATGGTTAGGGTTAGGGTTGGTCCAATGTATTCGCACTTTTTTCTTTATTGTTGCCAAGACTTTGATAGTACGCAGCAATTCAGCGGTACTAATTCATCCCGACACACCAATAATAACTAATAACAAAGATGATTATTACTATAATTTGAGCTAGGCTACAAAAACAAATAATGTTGTTTATTTCCATTGTTGGGTCAAGTATTAGTATTTGTTATTCGGCTTGTGTGGCAAATCCATGCTGCATATTTTGGTGAGACAGCATCATTTTTAACCAAGAAAGGAAAATTCGGTCAACGCAGCCGAGCAGGAAAAAGCAAATACAATCATCATGCACGCAATGTCCTTCGTTATACTTTTACAGTTTGAGTACACGGGTTTCGCTTAATATTAGTCGTCAACCTCGCCCCATCATTATTGCTCGACTAATAACGACAAAGTATTTTTTACACAACGGTCGTGTGATGCACTTTAAGAATACATTGTGGGAAAGGCTTTAGATGACCCGTGGGAACCTTATCATGAACAGTCGTTTGTGATTATTGTTCGCCTCGTTTAGTGATTTATAACGCCTTTTCGATATCCTTATATATCGTCTTTCAGCAAAGATACTTTGTCCACACTTCTGAGGTTGGTCATACATACATGCTGTATGTCGTTGGGAAACATTGCATATAATGGGTCAAATGAATGAAACGCAAATATACTGTGGCCGGTTATACTAATCGCCTTCCCCGGTCATTCTGGAAACATTGGTAAGATTAATGATCGTCCTGGTATGGTTACAACAAGTTTCATCAAGATTACTCATCCGAAATCGAATGTTTGTGTAACAAACGGAAACATAATAAAAAGAAGGGGTTAGCGCGTAGTTTGAAATATACATCTAAATATACATATACATATATATATACATATACACATACACATACGGACACACATATACAACCGTCTATATATATAACACTTGTTCCCTTCTCAATTAAAAATCCTTTCTCACTCTTGCCTCAACACATCTTTCACACAATGTCAAAACTAGACATACAATTGGTGGAACCAGTAATTTCCTTCAGAGGAGGACCCCGGGAAGCAATAGGATGTTTCTTGCGTGGTGATCTGATAATACATCTACAGAAACCAACAAAAGTAAAATGCATCGAATTGAAATTTATGGGAAGAGAAAAAATAGGCTTTTCTGAAGGTAGCGATTGTTTGAGATAATGAGAAAAAAAAAAGACATGTAAAATCAAATTCATGAATAATAAAGTTAAAGAAACGTACTTTATACTATGATAATCGTTTGCAGTATTACTGAATCTCACCTCACCTCACCTTTCATTGCGAATCGCTCACTTCCCACCATTCATACCTCCCCCCCCCTTCCCTTTTCATACACCTCGCATTATTTCATACTCAACGTTTTTAACATACATTGATTAAATACAGGCACCTGTCCGATCAGAAATGCAGGCGCAATACGCGAGGAGCGCGAACTTATTTCTAACACATGGACCTTTCTCGACCCAATTCCCACAAAACTAACCGCCTCCGCCACACGCTTCCATCTCCTTCGCAAATCAAATCCGAAATCGATGCAATCTCGCCTCTTACCCGCCGGAAAACATACATATCCATTTGAAATATTTTTACCTGGAAATTTACCCGAAACAATCAAGACCGATCACGTCCATGTCGAGTATACGTTAGAAGGAAAGTTAATGACGAATGGCGTGTTTCCCTGCCGAAAGATAAAGAAACACATCGAGGTTGTGAGAACAATACCAGATCATTTGAATTCACAAGGCGTCGCGACGGCTCGAGAGATCACAGACACCTTTGCCTATGAAATATCACTTCCCAAGCTCGCATACCCTATCGGACAAACCGCACCGTTAGACATAAAGATATCACCACTGAGCAAGCACTTTGTACTCCACGGTATCAAAGTCGAAATACACGAGAAGTGCGTCTACCACATAAGAGGACGCGATGTCACGAGCAATAATATAGTACTATCAGAAGCGTTACCGATCTTTGACAAAACAATCCTGTCGGAAGACGGCACTGATGGCTTTTTCTACGGACGCACGCTACCCCTCAAACTTCCGAAATTCTCGTCTCTCGTACACCCATCGTGCGATACGTCCACGTTAACAATCACTCATCAGATGAAAATAGTCTTTATCGTATCTGCGCCAATATTGGCAACGCACAAGATGCAGATCAAAGTTAACATGAATGTGAAAATGTTATCGTGCAAGTGCATGGACGACCACGATGTCGCTTTACCTAATTACGACGAAGACAGCTGTTATTGTCCTCTCGATCCTGTTTATCAGAGAATGGCACATTTGGTGTTGGGCGATGTCGATGTTGATCTTGATGATGCACCGCCGGATTACGAGAAAGCCATTGCTGAGGAGCGGATACCGTCGGAAGAAACAAGAGCATGAGGTGAAAGTGGAAGCGAGATGCGAACACTGACGATGATAATTGTAATTACCGGGGGAAAAGAGCTCGGGGGAGGAGAAATCTAGTCTGGTTGAAATTTAATTGAGAGAACAATAATACGCATGTTAGACGGATTTTGAACAAGTTTACATATATAGATTGTATATTTTTGTGTTTAATTTTCTATTGCATATCACATGTACAGTTAGGATAATCCTTTAACGACACTTGACTCTGCTGGTTCTGTTTGATACAGGAAAAGCAGATGCAAGATTTTTAATTTTCACATCACAAATACGACAAGACAATCGTTTCTAAACTATCATTCTCGACTTTCCTTATGATTAATTAGGAAAGCAAAATAAAAAAGCAATATCTAATTGCTAATACATCGTAATTGTACAGGCGCGGTAATGATGCATGTAATAATGTAATGTAACGACTGCATGAAAATACCTCTTGAAACAGTGACTTTTTCAGCCTTTGTGTTGTCCGAAGCGCTTTTGCGTGTGGAGCTACTTGTTCACACCCATCCTGGGAGAGAATCGTATGCATGATCACATGGACATCATGCGATTGTTTTTTTTCACCCAGGATCTTTTTTTAGGAAATTGATCCACTCCCGAAAAAGGAGGCTGGCGTTTTCGTGTTCTGAAGAGAATTCTGAATTCCTTTGTTTACCCAAGTCAAAATCTTCCAATCTGGGAAAATTGAGGAAATAAGCAAGTTGCTTTTTTTTAATAATGTGGCAAATACATACGGGGCAGACTGCAAGAAAACCAGACAAATTGAACATATGATTATGTGGTATAAATGAGAGGCTGATTATGATGTGACCATAAAATTGACCAGGGTGAATGATGACGTTTTGAAAAGTAATAATAATGTTCATTCATGACTTATGGACTCTTCTATTCCGAAAAAAAAAACAATTATAATTCTCAGCTAGCCCACGCGCAAATAAGTTTTATTGATCCCAACTTTTGCTCTGCTGCGACCACAGAAATTAATTCTTTGAATCAAGTTTTTTGTCCGAAAGAGTTTCGAGAACGCATTATAGAAATAATTTTGTATCACTTTTGTCATCGGTTTTCTTCGCGAGGCGGCTGCGTCCCCTCACCGTGACAATAGGGCTCTGTAGTGTCGATGCTTAGTGATGAGGC